CAACATCCTATACACCAAAAGTTTGTGGTTTGATTCTAAGTCAGGGCACATAACCAGGTTATGGATTCAATCCCCAGTCACGGCGGGTGCAAGAGACAACTGATCAATGTTTCTCTCTCCCATCCATGTTTCTTTCTTTCTCTCACTCTCCTGCCCCCACCCCCCGTTTCCCTGCTCTACAACCAATAAACATATCCTCGGGTGAAGATTTTTTTTAAAAAACTTTAAAACATGAATACCCAGTGACAGGTTGGGTAAACAGAGTAAGCCACACTTTATACACTAGCAGTAGGAAGGTAAACTGGCTCCAATTCCAGATAGTACAAATCCAACAGGCTTTAATCAGGTATACTCTACCATACATCTTTCACATAAGAGATTTTATTCTGAGGAAATAGTTGTGTGCTGTTTGTAACCACAAAAATTAGAAAGCAAATGCCCATAGACCTGGCCAGAGATGCTCAGTAGGTAGAGTGTAGACCTGCACACCAAAGGGTCTCGGGTTCAGTTCCTGGTCAAGGGAACCTAGGTTGCAGGTTCGATCCCCGGCCCCAGTAGGAATGGAGGAAACCATGTGTCTCTGTTTTGAATCAAATTTTCCTCTAAATCTTGCATTTGATATATTAATTATTTATGCCACACTTCCTTCTTTTTTAAAATTTATATTTATTGTTGAAAGTATTACAGATCTTCCCTTTCTTTTCCCCAATGGCCCTCTCTACCTCATACGCCCCCCCACCCCACACCCCAGGCCTTCACCACACCATGGTCTGTGTCCAAGGGTTATGCATATACTAGTATGCATATAAATTCTTTAGTTGATCCCTCCCCGCCCACCCCCACCTTCCCTCTGAGACTCAAATATTTCTATGTCTCTGGATCTCCTTTGTTCATCAGCTTATTTTGTCCATTAGATTCCATAAATGAGTGAGATCATGTGATTGTCTTTCTCTGACTGACTTATTTCACCACACCTCCTTCTTAAAGAACTTGCCTGATGTGGGCCACAGAAAAGAAAACTCCTACTTGCTGTTCTTGCAGTCCTCCTGCCTCCAAGCCAAAATGACCAGAGGTGGACATTTGGCCCAGGCAGGGACAAGTCATCTACCCAGGAATATGGAATATTACCCCCCAAAAAAGAGACAACCACCTATAGGAAGGCAAATAGTATTTCACATAGACTTAGGAGCTAATGAAGTATATGGCAAGTGAATCAACAAGTACAGCACTCAATAAAGAATAAAGCAGGCATGAAGAGTCCCTTAAAATACCCAGAGATACAGAGAGAACCAAAGACACACAAAAACTGGCTGACTGAGGACTTTCTAGTTCTGTTCAGATCAAGATGTGGATGTTCTACTCATTCTGATACAAGAAACCATGGCAGATTTGCTGATTTGATCACACAACCTTTATTCCACCCTATTTCTGGAGTGCCTTCTTGTATTCAGAGAACAGAAAGCTAAAATGTTTTCTTTCTAAGATTCCTTTGTAGGTAAGAGTTCTGAATGAAAATTAGTTTATACCAATTACATACATTTATTAAATATTTAAAAGCAAAAGTGAGCCTAGCAGACGTGGCTCAGTGGTTGTGTGTCAACCTATGAACCAGGAGGCCATAGTTTGATTCCCAGTCAGGGCACACGCCTGGGTTGCAGGCTTGATCCCAAGTGTGGGATATGAGGGGGGCAGCAGAGAGATGATTCTCTCATCATTGATGTTTCTCTCCCTCTCCCTCTCCCCCTCCCCCCTCCCCCTCTTCCTTCCTCTCTGAAATAAAAAATATATTTTTAAAAAATAAAAGTAAAAGTGAGATGGAGACTATCTTCCATCATCCTGCCCTTTTTAGCTGTTTTCTGCAGGAAGACAAGATCATAGAATGTCTAGAATCAGCTTCTTGTGTGAAGAAGCAGTTTTGACATGGATGATTGGCTAAATCCCACATTCCAGGACCCAATTGCCAGCTTACATATGTTGTAACACAGCTGTAGCTTTCTTAATTTTGCTTCTAGAAGCTATATGATTTCATATACGAGTTCTTACCTTTAATCTTACTTGCTCATTCATTCATCCCACAGATATTTATTAAGGTAAGGAGCAAGGGGTCCTGGACTGCGAGAGGGCACAGGCTGGGCTGAGGGACCCCTTCTCCCCCTTCTTCCCTAGAAGTCGTGCACTGGACTTCTGGTTTAAAAATAAACAGCACCAGGGACCTGGCTGGCGCCAACAAACCAACACTCAGCTCCCCCCAAGTGGGACACAGGCCCCACCACCACCCTGGAGTGACACCCCACCAAATCACAGCCAATGCTGCCAAGACCCCATGGTGCAAAATGCAGCCCACAGCCCAGCCTGAAACAATCGCTGTAGGCTCTGGGTAAGGACGTCACATAGCAACGCCCAACTTCCTCTCCCTAACAATTAGCCTCCTTGGAGTTTCTTCAGCCCAGGAACACGACTTGCTTTATAGCCAGGTGCAAACATTTTCCACTTTAACCAAATGTCTGTGAAGTGTTTTCCCGTGCCTCATCTAATTTGATCCTCACAGAAGTCCTGGAGTAGGTAGATAGGAAACTCGGTAGAATCCTATTTTCTTTTCATTAGCCAGAAAACGGAAATTGGGAAAGTTTAAAAACGTGACCCGACGGAAAAGAAATGGTGGACCTTGAAAATGACTTCAGGTTTTCTCACTGCACAGAATACAGTCAAACACTGCTGCAGTTGAATATTTTACCCTTTGTTTTCCCTACATGATCTACAATAATAATCTGCTTTGTGTTGGTATTTACTGCTGTGTTGCTGACAATTACCTGAAAGAGAAGTTGGGGTGCTTCACTGGGCTGGAAAAAGTTTAGCTATGTCAGAAAGCAGGTCTAATTAAGCAAGTTTATTCTATATATATATAAAAAAGGCTAAGTTGACTCACGCATGTGCGATACATATACTAGTAAAGCTCTCGCTGGTGCCAATCGCACGCATGTGTTTCAATCTGTCATTGTCAATCGTGAATTTGGTTGACACTTCTATTATAGAGAAACAGCAAATAGTAATATTAAAATATTTCTTCTAATTAATTTCCTTTCAATTTGCACAAATCTGTGCATCAGGACATAGTATGATTAGACTTGTCAAATGTTTAACTTTGCCTTAAAGAGAGCACGATTCAAATCCTCATAGGTCAATAAGAGATATATATATGTTTTACAGCAGAATTAAGGAGATATACATTTCCTTGATTAATGAAATCAAATAACAGAATATTTTAATCTTTAAAAAAAGACAAAGAATTGAAAGAGAGGAAAAAAAAAGGAGGACAACATGCAGCCCAAGTTTTAAACTAATGAATCAGATAGAGTTGGCAAGGGGCTCTAAATCCTCACTGCTTCATAAAGTGCCAACGACTAATAACCAACAGAATCATGAATGAGGCCAGGAGGAAAGAGTTCAGCTCCATTTGCCTGTTCTTATTCTCCAGTTGCTCAACAGATTTGGTAAGAGTAGCATCAATAACAGGATACTGCACCTGTGTCATGCTTTTCTCCTTCCTTACTTCCTAAATACAGTGTTTTACTAGTGCAGTGATGACTGAGCAATTGAGCCTCAATACAGAAGAGTATTCCCCCAAAACACCACACACATAATATCAGGTAAATAAATATTACTACAACAATCGGGCATTTTTAATTCATCACCTGAAAAGTCACATAGACTAAATATAAGGTTTGTGCAATCAACTTACTATACTGAAAAGTGCTCATAAGATGGTCTAGTTACAGTAATCCAGGACCTGTTATGGTAGTGAAGTAACTTACTGATGCTGTGTGGCTTAGTCAAATCAAACATCAGCCTACTGAAATGTGACTCATTTATACAGTATTGCGGAAGAACAGTAAAGCTTCAGGAAAAGTCTAGGTCAAATAATGCAGAAATCTTATATGACATTTCCAAAGGCTGACTGACTCCTGTTTTGGAGACCTACCTATTTCTCACCGAATAAACAAATAAACCAATTTACAAATAAGCAAGATCTCTTCCTAACCACGTGAGAGATTTGGTTTTAAAAATCTGGAACACTTTTCCCATGAGATTAGTTATAAGACATTAAATATACATCAGGTCTCCAAATCCAAAACATATAGGCTAAAAATAGTGCATCTATTCCAAAGGCTGAAGCTGAAAGCCCTCCAACTGAACAAATTAATATTAGATTTTTTTTTCATCTCTGAATCTTTAAAATGTACCTTGAATGTTTATGGGGCACACAAGCCTGTGTTCACATATTCGCCCAAACAAGCGGTTGAGAGACAACCTAATTATTAAAATCTTCAGGAACATAAGCCCACTGTCCAAGAGGCTCGTGTAATAAAATTCCTGTTCAATATGGCTAATGTCCAAAGTAAGAAATACTACTAATAATAACAATGACCCCTCCCAAATTCAGTAAACTACAACCCACCAAAAAGGACCACCATCCTATACTCTTTCTCCGGAAGCAGAAGCAAAAGCCCTGTACAAAAGCTGTCAGATGGGCAGGCAGGTAGGGTTCCACCTGGAATACCGAGCACCGGCGCCGGCAGAGGGAGGAGCAAGTTACGGGGAAGGAGACTTGAGGGTAGCCACCCATGGAGGTACCTGTGAGCTACGGCGGAAGAAGGGCAACCCTTTACGCCCCAGCACTGCCCAGGCCGGCGCCCGGGTCCGCGCTCCGAGACCCGCCCCGCCCCGCCCCGGCCCTGTGCAGGGTCCGAGCTTCGCGACGCCGGCACTGGCTCAACCCCGGGGCCGGGTAGGAGCAGAGGCTGGGACGGCGCCCGTGGGCCTGACCTCGCCGCCGTTTCGGGCGGAGGTGAGGGTCCACTGCAGCCCCGCGCCCGCCCTCCCTTCAGGGCCGGGGCCGACCGGGCGCAGCCGCCGCCTCCGCTCGGGCCCGGGGCACGGCGGCCACGGGAAGGTCACCGGCGGCAGGAGGCCCGGACCAGGGAAGGAGACGTCCGCTCTACCTTTGGCCTCGCAGTCGGCGCAGTACTTGTTGTCCTCCTCCCTCAGCAGCTTGGACAGGATGAGCTGGTGCTGCTCGTTCAGCTTCTGAGCCTTCTCCCGGCAGGAGCGCGTCGCCATCTCGGCAGCGGGGCAGGGAGCCCGGAACAGCTGCGGCGGCGGCGGCGGCGGACGCAGGCAGAAGCCCGGCTGGAGAAACGCACCTGGCGCCGCCGGGACCTCGGACGGACTCACCCCAGGAAGCGGCAGATGGAACAGGAGTTGCAGCGGCGGCGGCGACTGTGGTTCTAGCGCCGACGTGTCCCGCCTCCTCGCCGGACCGCCCCGCACGCACCGCCCCAGCCGGCGAGGGAGGCGGAGGGAGGAAGGGACCGGCCGCGACTTCCGGGTGGCGCCGCAGGAAGGAACGCAGACGCCGGTCGCGCTGCGCATGCGCCGAACGTCCCGGGAAGCCGACCAGGCCCTTAGCGCAAGGTGATCCCAGCGAAGTGCTGTGACTTGCTCTGCCCGCTGTGAGCTTCCCCAGGTTTGAGATGCGCCTGTCGTGGAGGGCCTCGGGTAAAACCCCGTAGGGGAGATATTCTACAAAGAGACCACTTTCACCTGCTTTCTTAGCTTTGCTGATGGGGCACAGCATGGGAAATGCAGAAATAAACGTGACTGGGTGGATTTGTTTGTTCATTCTACGTTTATTCCTCTGCAGTTGTGAAACAGGCACCGCCCTGGGAACTAGACGAACGCATAGAAAAAAAAGTAGACAAGACAGTCTTACATTATAAGAGAGAGACATACACTGAAGGTTAACATTGAGTATTCTGCGCCATGAACGATTAACTCATTTAACCCCTATCACAACCCTGTAATATTGTTATCTTCATTGTACATAGAGGAAAATGAGGTGTGGAATTTTGTAATTTGCCCAGGTAATGAGCTACCCATTGGAGGAGTTGAGATTCAAATCCAAAGTAGTAAAACATCTGGCAATAAGGCCTTCCATACGGAGCTGTGTCACTTTAACAAGAAGCTGTATAAACAGTGATCTTTAATTCATGAAAAAGAAAACTAAGGAGACACTTTTGATTAGACCCCAGAATTTCCACTCCTGGCTCATGGGATTTGAACCCTGGGTGAGGCCATTGAATGTTTTGGCATGTTGGTGTTGTACTAGCAATTTCTAATATGGGGGTTATGTAATTAGAATAAACATGGCCCATGCCTGTGGTCAGGTCTATGCTAATAAAGGCAATGAGCAGGAGTATGTGTCTCACACTTATTTATAGGGCCAATTCTAAGCCTAGGCCCTTGATAAAGGTGATCCTCCTGCTCACCTAGCCCCATTTTTGGTACAGGGTTTAAAAAATATTTGTGGAATTGAATTGAATTGTAATGGCAGTGGAGATGCTGAGTAATTAAATAAATTACAGTTTTTACTGTAATTCTGACAAATAATAACTAGGTGGACATCAGGGTGAGTTCCAATAAACAAAAAAGAACATTGTGGGAGGTAGAACTTTTAAGCCATATCTTGAAGATTGGCTTGTTTTAGATGAGAACCGAGGGAGAGAACTATTGAGCAGGAGCAGCCTGCACAAAGCACAAAGACTTCAAATAGCTTGGAAAACAGAGTGAAGGACAGGGGTACTACTTAAGACAAGTGCAACAGGATTAAAGAAGGCTGGGGAACTGGACAAAGCAATCTGGCTTTGAGACAGTTAACAATAGTAAATCTGTAGATTCTTCAACTAGAATAATAGCATTTAAAAAAAGGATGTTTTGGGAAAGTTAGTTCAGCAGTAACCATTTAACAAGCACCATTTTTTTAGTGTTCTCCCCTCAGAAAATTCTGCTTAGCACTGCAAGAATTCAGAAAAAAACAGAAGACCGGCTTACCACCAATAAATGACCTACATGATGGACTGAAGGATCACAGCAATGTAACAGAAATACAAGGCACACTACATATGCATGTTAAGCTTTTCTAATAGCCACATTTAAAAACAAAAAAGAAACGAGTGAAATTAACTCGAATAGTATTTAATTTTATTTAACCCAATGTATTCAAAATATTTCAAAGCGTGAGCAGTATAGAAATTATTAGTGCAATATTTTACATTTTTTTCATATTATCTTCAGAATCTAGTGCATATTCTCATTTTAACTTGGACTAGCTGCATTTGGAGTGCTCAATCGCCACATGTGGCTAGAGGCTATATTATTGAACTGTGCTGCTCTAGATTATCAACCTAGAGACTATTAAAAAAATCTAAGTTTAAATTGATGGTTTATTAGGGATGTAACAGGAAGAGTGGAAAAGAAGACAAGACACTGATACCAAAACCATCTTGGAAGGAAAGTAACATTGCATTCATTCAGCAATATTTATTAAACAATTTATATTTAGTTCTCTGATAATCAGAAGCTTATATGCCTTACAGTCTAGTAGAGATATAAATATGTAAATAGAACAATTATCAGCCACACCGTATAGTCTATAGCACATTTGACCCCCTGGGGGTCAAATATATGGGGACAGAAGGAGACTAGACTTTGGATGGTGAACATACAATGCAATAGATAGATGACGTATTATAGAATTGTATACTTAAACTTATATCATGTTATTAACCAATATCACCCCAATAAATTTAATTAAAATAATAAAGTACCCTGGGAGTAAAAGGAACCGAACATCAGTAACCTGGAAAAATCAGGGAAGACTTCGCCGAGTATGTGATGCTTAATTTTGGTTTTAACAGGTGTAGGAATTTTTCAAGTAATAGGTATTGAGAAGAGGAAAAGGAATATCTTGAAAAAAATAGTAGAGACTTCTGAAAGTTATGAGCTGGAAGTAGTGAGAATATGAGGCAACAGGAACCTAGAATGTGAATGGAGAACAGGTAGGTAGAAAGGGAAACAAAGTGGGGAGGTAGATTTGAGGCCAGGAACTTGAAAGCTTTGTAGCCAAATTACATAGTTTGAATTTTACTCCAGGGGCATAGAGAGCCAGCAGAAGGTTTTACACAGAGAAAAGACCTGATTAGCTTTGTTTTCTGAAATCATAGCGGCAGGCTGGAGAACATGGTTGGGGAAAAAATGTTATTGGGGAAACAGATTACAGACAGTACTATTGTAATACAGCCTAAAGAAGATATGCTGAAGGCCTATTTTAAGCCAGTAGCATACAGTTTGGAAGAGAGAATCAAATGATATTTTAAATTTAGAGGCAGCAAGATTTGGCAGCTGACTACGTGGAGGTTGAGAGAAAGGAAGTGAGAATAACACCAAGGTTACTAAGTTGGGAGACAGGTAAATGGTGATGCCATTAATCCAGCTCAAGAATAGAAGGGACAGTACAGATTTGGGGTTGAGGAGAAAGGTGTTTGCTTGAGGACATGTTAAGTTTAAGGTGTTCATAGGACATCCATTCAGCTCCAAATGTCTACTGGGACATTGTCTATCTATTTCTAAGGAGAAGGTGCTGGTGAAAGTCACTTGCATCATCTACATTTAAATGGTCATACATTTAAAGCCCTAGGGTGGATGGTATTTCTCTAGAGCAGTGGTTCTCAACCTTCTGGCCCTTTAAATACAGTTCCTCATGTTGTGACCCAACCATAAAATTGTTTTCGTTGCTACTTCATAACTGTAATGTTACTACTGTTATGAATCGTAATGTAAATATCTGATATGCAGGATGGTATTAGGCGACCCCTGTGAAAGGGTCGTTCGACCGCCAAAGGGGTCGCAACCCACAGGCTGAGAACTGCTGCTCTAGAAAAAGAATATAGACTCAACAGAGAAGAGTCCCAAGCACAAAACTCTAGGAATTGCCAACTAAATGAGAAGCAGACAGAGAAAAGTGAACCATTGAAAAGTGAGGTGAAGTATGTCCAGGAAGAGAACCAGAGGCCATGGGAGGAGAGGGTTCTAAGAAGTAAGGATGAACACTAATGCCAATTGCTCCAGAAAAGCCAGTTATTTCTGCTTTAGTCAATACATGCAGTTATGGGTTCATGATTTCCCTTCACAACTTGTCTTTAGCCCAGAAACAAGAGAAGTGAATTATCTGGTGAGGCTTCCCAGGGCTGCTCAGTAGAATGTTGAGGGAGGGATGGGGATGGCTAGGAGGAAGAAAAAAAAGGAGGGAGGAAGGGAGGGAGGGAGGGAGGGAACAAGGAAGGAAGGAAGGAAGGAAGGAAGGAAGGAAGGAAGGAAGGAAGGAAGGAAGGAAGGAAGGAAGGAAAGAAGGAAGGAAAAAAGGGAGGAGCAGAGAAACAAGTGAATTAAAGGTAAGTACAGGATAAGAAGCACTGCCAGGATTAACTGTGGAATGTAAGGTGAGGGAAGTCCAAAATGTGTGTGGAAGAGATGAAGTTGGAGGAACTGCAGACTCCTTTGAGGCCAGAGATGATTTGGTGTCCTTAAGAAAAGGATGATAACATCTAAAAAAGGGAGTACCTAGTGACCTAGCTCTCAGAGGGAAGTAGTAACTTCTGATGAGGTCCAGATGTCAAGGTGTCCATAGATGATTGAAAGGCTGGAGAGTGGAGTTGAAGGTCTGTTTCAATAGATTCTTAGAGAGATGAAGTCCTTTTCAACTCTAAAATGTTGTTGCCAGTTGGAATAAAAAGATGAGAAACAGGTTTAGAGAGTTGTACCACAATGGAGCTGGTATACCACGGAGGACACTGAAAAGAGAGGGAAACTGGGGGAGTAGAGACATGAAGGAAAAGTACGGCAGGAGTAAAATGAACAAGAGTGAGCCATGTGTGCAGGTGCAGGTGGAATGTCTGATAAGAGCAATAGACTTGGACAACTGAAAATGGGGCTAATGGGCTTAAGAACCACTGCTTTTCAATCTCCTACTGTGAGTTAACAATCCTCACACCAACTCTTTGAGGGAAATAATATTATACTCATTATTATATTAGGAAGCATCAACCAGAATGGGCCAACTCATGTTGAATAACAAATAACCCCCAAATCTTAATAACGTTAAACAATAGCAGTTTATTTCTTGATCATGCTACATGTCCATTGGGTTGGTAAGCATTCTGCTCCAGGGATGAGACAATAGAGTCTTTGTCATGTTCCAGGGGAAAGGCAACAAGGTGAGGCTTCTCCCCAGGAATGACAAATCTACTTCTAAACCCAATCCATTGCCAAAGCAAGTGCATTACATATCCTAATATTGAGGGAACCAGAAGTGTAATCCCACCATGTACTTAGAAAGAGAAATGGAAATATCACTGACCAGCACAGAAATTGGCTCAGAGATGAGTACTGTGTTGAAAGTAGCCTCGATATTAAGAGATATAACTGGCATTTGAGGTTAGGTATTTTGGGCATTAAAATACCTGTT